GTGAGCGCATTATCTCGTGGACTTGTGGTGTGACGTGACTTCTAAGATCGTACGTTTTAAAACTGTTGGACTATTTTTTGTGGAGTTGAATGAATTTGCTTGCCTGCAGTCGTACGACAAAGACGACTGACTCATTGGAAGAGAATATTCACCGCGCCAAAAGGGGTGTAGAATTTAAAATAGTTTACTCTCTGTAGTCATACATCGAGCGTGTTTAAGTTCATATGAAAATATTTCGTTAAAAAGCTTACCATTTATACTGAATTAAATATTTAGCAAAACATACCAAAATAAACTGTGAATATCAAAAGAAGAAAAAAACTGAAGAAAAGTTATTTTTAATCAAAATTTATGGCATTTAGACTTTGAAGTATTTTATAGTAATAATATATATGTATAACCATTAATATTTTTATAACCAATTAAAAGCAAAATCGTTTTCACAAAAACTTCATTTACACACAGTTCACAAGTAAACTTCAAAATTACTTATAAAAACACTTAAATGCAATCAAATGTAAAGAAAAACACTACAAAATATGCTTATACATTTACATATATACATACTATAAATAAAATGTGCAAAGTAATTACTATTTACTTATATTTAGCTGACGTGCAATATCAAGATAAATAAAATAAAATAAAGAAATATTTATTTTAATAAAATAAAAATAAATGCTAAGTGTAAGCACATATATGTATGTATGTAAAAAAATACGGAAGCGTGGCATATATAATTTTACAAGGAGTGTATGGTGAATTTATATGTATAATAATTATTCTCGACGACTACACAAGCTTTTAGTATTTGAGTTAGTTGTGTTTTTCCTATTTTTCCATACAGTGCAATTAAACTAATTGAAATTCGAACTTTGAGACTTTGTGGCAAGTTTCACTAAGAATTGATATTTTTGCTCGCTACTACTACACAGCTACCGCTAGTGTGGCTTGACAGGTGAGTGCAGCAGAAGAAGAAGAAGAAGAGGATGCTGTAGGAAAGGAAGAAGAAGAAGTCATTTGACTGCCTTGCTACTGAAAGTGAGCGCAATTATTTATTTGCAAAATTCACTTGTGAGTAAAGCATGAGAGAGGAAGTTACGAGAAAAAGCAGAAAGTCAAAATATCGAGTACTTAGCACTCGAGCGGTTGGGCTGTGAGTGAGTGGGTGAGCTAGTGAGTTAGTGAGTGGTTGAGGGGTGAGTGAGTGAGCTGACTTGCTGGTGCAATGAAGGAGAAGGTGGTTATTAAAGCATTGAAATAATATTGCATTGCAACGAAAATATAAGCAAAATAGTGCAGTGCTTGGTATTTGTAACTAAAATGTATCGAACTGATGGGCGCCACATACTCTTCGGATTCCTATAATTTTAAATTAAATTATTTATCAAAAATTAAATTCAATTGCATACACAAAATTTTTAGCAAAATTTCGAGAATTGACTGGAAAGCATTTTATAAATTTAGCGCAGCTCATACAGTGCACGCGTTAGTTCAAGAGCCAGACAGTTAAAAGGCTCATGAGCAGTTAACCCTCCAAAGACAAGTTATCTTGAGTTATTATTAGAGTTACGAGTAACCAATATTAAAAAACAAATGCAGTTGTTAGTGTTTTTATTTTCTCATATATTTTCTACTTCCTACTAGTGAGTTGCAATTTAATTAGTTGCAGAAGAAAAAAATATTCAAAAAATAGTAAGAAAGAGAAAATTCAAAAAAATCAACCTTAGCACGCTCACAGTATGTATAGCGTATATATAATGTACATATGTATATTTTTCATAAAGAGAAGTTTAGCGAATGGCAGAAAGTATAGTTAGAAGTTGCAAGAAAGACAATTTTTTGTTTTTGCAGTTGAACTTTACATATACGTTGTTGCATGTATGTATGGAATAACTAATGGAAGTTTTATAAATTGGCGGTGAACTGCATAATGGATTGCGCTGCTGTGTAAGAGGTGAATTGGGTATTTGGTTAGTTGGTTATTTGGCTAATAAACTAGTGGCAAGTAGCAGTGACTTTGGTGGTCGCATGGTGGTAGTGGTGGTAGTGGTGGCATTTAGTGGTTGGTGGTTGGTGGCAGATGCAGGGTGCATTTTCTTCTCTCACTCTCTCTTTTTATATTAAAATTTGGCAACTTTTTTTTATGAAATTTATTCCAGCGTTTAATCGATTGCAAATTGTCGATTATTATTTTTTTTTGTTTTTGGTAATCAATCATTAATTTTTCGCTTTATTCGTTTATTAAATCAGATTGTTTATTTCTTGATTTGGATTTATAGTTGATTACTGAATTTTTGCATTTTTTTTTTTTGAATTTACGAATTTTTTTAATAATTTGTTTAGCTGATTTTGTTTTGTCTTTCTTAAGTGTAGCTTAGGAGCAGTATAAAACTTAATGCAATTAAAATTATTTGAAAAGCTCATACTGCATTGTTTTTGAAAGTGTTTGGCACAGAATTATTGTTTGGTATGCATAAATGCTTACACTGGCGTAATTGCTTAACTGAGCTGAGTTTTTTTTATGTGAATTTTGTAACATTTAAATGTTATTGAAAAGAAGTACATAAAAATTTTATAAATTAAAAAAAAAAATTATTGGAAAACTTCTTCCTCATGTGTAGTGCAATTATTTTTGCATTATTTATTTGTTATTTATACGCTTTTTTATAAGTAAAAATAGTTTTTGAAATTAGATTCTTTTAATTCAAAGTTTGAAGTAAAATTATTATGAGAATTAATTAATTTCAATACTTTCGCTTTAATATATTTTAATGAAAATTTGTTTAAGTAAAATTTTTTTTTTTTCCAATTTATGTATACCAAATTATTTTTATCCAAGTCTGTAAGAAATTTAATGAAAATTTGTAAATAATTTTGTTTTGAGATCGCCCAGGAAGTAAGCAGTTGCAGATAATTTTAAAAATTTGATAAAAAGTTTTATATACTGTTTTCTTTAAAGCAAAATTCTAGAGCTATTCGAATATTTCGTTTTGTAATTATCTATAAAAATATTTTTTTTTTATTCCAAAAAGAGTGTAATTGAGTCTTTATGAAAATAAAATTTATGAATCTTTTACTTAAATAATTTTTCAGTCAATAAGTATTCTGAGGGTTTGCGTTAATATTTCTGAAATCATTTTAAATTATTTTTTGAAAATTATTGTTTTAAAAAGAAATTTTTCAAAATTGGGATTTTTAAAAATTTTTGTATTTACTATTTCAGTAAATTTAAACTGTTTCTCATTCTTCTATACTTCTCTAGTTATTTGACTTACTTTATTATCTTTTTTAATTGAATTTATTTCAAAATTGAAATTTTTTATTTTATGAAGTTTAATTTATTTATGCAAAAATAGTTTTAATAAAAATCAATTAATCAAAATAACACTGTGGTTGAATTTTGTAATAATCAATAATTATTTAATTTTAATAAATGCAAAAAAAATATGTGTTTAATTTTACAATAAAAAGTAAAATTATTCAATTGGAATGCACAAAATTTAATGACAGCCAATTTGTCGTGATTAAATTTGATGATCTTTTGTTTGAAATATTTAAAAAGTAATTAATTTAAGCAAATCATACACGCCTCAGCTCACTTTGCAATTCGGCCAGTTCTGCGTATGCTGTTGTTGTTTGTTTACAGGTGTATTAATATGTAGCACTGTTCAATTTGTAATATATTTTTGTATTTTGTTATATGTATATAAATATGTCTCTGTCGTTTTTTTTTCAATCTGTAATAGCAAAAAGCACTTAGTTGAAGCTTTATTTAAAATATTCTAATGCATTAAATTTGGCATTTTGCATATGCGAGCATTGAGGAAATGCTTTTATCAAAGCTTATATATGTATAATATAGAGTTTGTATGTATATTGTATAGGTACGTAAATTAAAATGGCTTAATAAAGCAGATACTAAAAACTAACTTTAATTTCACAATTTTTCAAATAAAGCAACAAAAAAAAAATTAGTGACAAACAATTTTTGTATGCAAATTTTATTTTTTTCCATTTAACTGCATTATTTAATAATAAAAAATTGTAATCCATTATAAGCACATAAATTAATATTTCCAACTAATGGCAGCCAATAACATCAAATGCACAGTTTTTTTAATTTTTTCAAAATTAATTTATATTTTTTTCTTACAAATCTTTTAACACCGAATATATTTATGAAAATGCAAATTCCATCAAAGCAACACAAAAGTATATATTTAAACTAAAATCATTTTACAAAGAAAAATTTTTTAAATCGATATGTGGTAATAATTGTCAAAATCATTACTTTACAAGTTGTTGTTGTTTTCGTTCTTGCTTGTATATACTACTATATATACGAGTATATAAATATATGTTATATATGGTGTTGCTGTTGTTTTTGCACGCGGTTGTAAACACTTAAGTTCACGGCCAATAGAAAATACTCACATTTGAGTGGAAGTAATGAGCAAAATTATTTGGTCTGAATGCATTTGAGAGCAGGTGTGTTTGTGAAAGCCGGCTATGATCCGTCTTTAGGCGTGTGAGCATATTGTTTAGCCATAATTTCACGCACACACACATACACCTACTCAAAAACACTCAGACATTAGTTTGCTCTCATTTAATTTCTTTTCGCTCAAGTCGCCTTTTTTGTGACTTTTCTCTTCACATCTTTGCATATCTGTATGTAAGTTGTTTGTGCGCTTTTATATAGTATATTTTATATATATATATATTTGTAAATATTTATGTAACCCTTTATGTTTGTTACAAGTTTGTTGTTGGTGTATATTTTTGTATTTGATTTTACTTATCGTTTTGTGTTTATTTATTTGCTTTCGCTTTTTATATGCATATTTTTTTCTTTCTTAAATTGTTTCTTGAACGTTGTTGTTTTTCGTTTTTTTTCAGTTTTTTTTTTTTAGTTTCGAAAAAAGTAAACAAACAAAACGTTTTGGACGCTTTAATAAAGAGAGTTTAGAGAAGAAATATTATTTGTGATATCGTACCGTTTCGCTCACCTTCTTGTCCCACTGTAGGACATACGGCACCGGATGATCATTGGGAAACTCGACGTGACAATTGAAGATGACACCTTCGCCGAGTATCGCCGTAATGTGTACTGCATCTTCTGCAAAAAGGAAAAAGAGCATAAATTTAGAAATATAACGTAAGAAATGTTATTAATAATATGGCAGTTATATATATATATATTTGACAATAAACATTTTATATAACAGTATCTTTTCTGAGAGTGATTCAAACATTTTGCAGAACAAAGAGTAAGTGCCGAATTCGCAATGCTCTTACCTCACATAAACAAGGTTTGCAACAAAACCAATAATCCCTTTACTTCGTTCTCTTCCTCATTTCACCCTCTTTTTCTCTTATTTCTCTCTCTATATCTTTCTCTGTCTCTTTCTCGTTCACTAGTCTTGTCTCTATCTCTATCTCTATCTCTATCTCTATCTCTATCTCTATCTCTATCTCTATCTCTATCTCTATCTCTATCTCTATCTCTATCTCTATCTCTATATCTATCTCTATCTCTATCTCTATCTCTATCCCTATCTCTATCTCTGTCTCAATCTCTATCTCTATCTTTATCTCTATCTCTCCCTCTCTCTCTCTCTCCTCTCTCTCACTCTCTCACTCTTCTGTCTTTCTCTATCTCACTCACTCGCTCTCTCCCTTACTCTCTCCCGCTATCTCTATGGACACTCTGCCAACCCGTATTCTCCAGCAATGACCTAAACTCAGACCTTTGCTAATCCTAACATCTTATATGAGAGCCTTTGCAGGACTTCCTGACGTCCCTAAGTATAACTGTAAATTTAACCGAAGATGTCAATCTTTCCTTGTTGCCCGTCGTCAATTGTAGTTGTCAATCATTTGCCTGTAGCAGAAATCCATTAGGTGTCACCATCGTTCCTCGACTATCATTATTCGATTGCAGTTAGTTACCAAGAGCCATTCGTCTTCAACAACCGCTCAATGGTTATCAGTGAGTATTTGCTTCAACCCTGCTATTAAGTCGAACTTACACTACCACTCGCCACTTAGCTTTGATACGAAAGCTTTCGATTTCGGTTTTCTGCTACGGGTGCCACGAAATGGAACACAATCAATATTGATTTTACCTTTAGAAAACTTGGACTCCGCGTTAAACAATCCATGGAATTTTAAAGAACTACACGTAGGACTCTTTCTTGCCGTGAACTATTAGCTGATTTTTTCCCCTTTTATTAGACTAATTTCTGAGAAAGTTTAAATTTGTCTGCTGTCTGACAAGAATCGCCGAGTTGTCAAGTATGTGATTGAGAACACCCAAGCAGCTAGACACTTTAATAAACTTTCCCACACACCAACAGACCGCACAAGTTGTGAAATTTTGATAAATTTCACTCCAAAGAAAGCCAGCAGGAGCTACTTAGTAGCTAGGCAGGATTCGTCTGATGTCCTGGGGCTTTGACGCCAACAACCGGCGACAATCCTGCAAGCAATTCGCAAATCTTACAGAATGCAATTGAAAATTAGTTATTACATATGTATTTATACATGTACATATGTGCATATGTACATATGTATGTCATGACAAGTGCATTTCACCGAGGAAAAGGCTCCGGGCGTAAGAAGTCTACGGAACCGTCGTGATAATCAATTGAATTTCGCTCGGCGACAGTCTTTCAAGTGGCTGGAAGAAGTCATACTCTTATGTATGTATATATGTGTGTCCATGCAAACACTTTTTCACCATCAAGTGGCAAATGGCAATAGCGGAGGCGTAATTTATAAACACAAACAAATAAACAAACAATTAAAATAAATTTAAATAAAACTTTGTTAAAACCTGCCACTGCAACAAGAACAACAATGAGTGCAGGAATATTGAAATTTGTATCAGTTAAAAACCCATGATCAACATTAGCCATTAATTACGGTAGTTGAAGAGTAGTTTCAAGGATCAAGTAGCTAAAAGGCGCCAGCCACTTCGTGCCGGGGAAGATACAGTCGCCTATTGGTGGCTAATCGGTTTGTAAACAAATTACAGTAATGTTGACAAAATATAAATATACATATGTCACATACATGTGGTTTTCAGTTGGTGGTGGTCTCTCGGCGCTAGGCGCTCGACGCGGTTTCGGATTGCGGAAGTGGACACGGGCGCGACTCAAGTGGTTGTTGGCCTACCGATTTTTTAAACAAACATGGAAATGATAAATGTATTTCTCTAAGTATCTACATAGATGTATACGTATACATGTCCGTACATATGTATGTCCCAGTATTTTGGTGAAAAGTCAATGTATCTATTCCTCCAAATCATGTCTAACGAGCTGTCAATGAATTGGGCGAGTGCCGTTGACATGTGGCGTCCACTGTGTGCAAATGAGTACGCGTTGTATTCATACACATACATATGTATGTAATTTCAAACATATGTAAGCATACAAATACCAAAATAGTATCCATTTTTCGGAATGTTTTCCTTACTCCTCGCGCTAAAGAGCTATTCGTTAGCATTTTGAGTTAAAACCAAATCGATTGAGCGCATCAAAATGTCATTTGTTGTTTTCTCAAGTGTCATTCAATGATTTGGAATAATCGAGTACAAAAATGTACTAAATATAATTATTATTGTTGCTTTTATTTAGACGCACATGTGTGTAAACAAGTCGGGTTCACGCAAAGGACGAGCACTAGCGCCAGCTTTCCTTTAATGGGGGTTTTATTAATGAAAATTGTTTCGAAAAAATTTCGAAATATATGTATATAATACCAAGTACCAAGTTCCATAATTTTTTTATATCGAATCTTTCACGAACAGTCAGTGCAAATATAATTATTTAAAAATAAGCTAGTAATTGTATGAAAAAGATCAAGATTGAAGAACGGAAGCCTCATTACCATCTTATGCGATTTCGCTTCCCTCAAAGGTATGAGGGAGATGAGACTTTTTGCCGAAAAATCGTATTTTCCGATTAAGCTAATTGCCACCTCGACGGCTCCGTTAAAAAGCGAAACTACCACATTTGGAGCTTACAAGACCACCACTAACCATGAAAAAGCCAATTCTTCCTCAAGGAGTGACTGTTTGATGCGGCATATGCCCCGGTGGTTACTTTGTTACGTTTTTCTTCCATTACCCTAAGTGACGAGAGTCGATTTTGAAGGCCCTTTACAGCCAAACAATCGATAGATAGACCAGAATGAACTACTGCAAGACCAGCCGCAGCGCCCAAAGGAATGAAGTAGTAGTGTCCCATCTCTTTAAACCGGGTTGGCACATTTCAATAATGTCAAAAATTTTGGAATGAAATTTTTTTTCGTGTTTACTATGATTATAAATATAGATTTTACCGTAAAAAATTCTATATATAATGATAAAAAATAAAATAAAGTATAATAATAAAGTAATATAAATTAAATAAAAAAATAAAATAAATTAATACAAAATAAAGTAAGATATAAAATAAAAAAGAAATAAAATAAAATAAAAAATATTAAACAAAATAAAAATAATAAATAATATAAAAAAATTAGATAAAAATATAAAAAAATATAATCAAATGAAATGAGATAAATATTGATGTGTGATTATTGGAAAAGAGTTTCCAAGTGATTTGGAACGAAAAAATAACGCTAAAAATAGTGGTTCATTTCCGAGCTTCGTTTTCCTTTTTTTGCCACAAGAATAGTAATTTGTATTCAAAGGTTTAGGTAAAACTCGAAAAATAAGCAAAATACAGGGTGCGCCATCTAGATGTATCCTATTTCAACATTGGCGGACCTACATTTTTCAGCCGATTTTGACAGATAAACACAATTCTGAAACGCCATTCAGTGCCATTTTAGCTATGAGTCGATGCACACCGAAAGAACGCGCTGAAATCGTAGCGCTTTACATTGAAAACGATCGTTCAGTTGTGAAAACTGCGCGCTTATCGTAAAAAATATCTCTCTGGTGACATCGTTCTCCGGATTTAACGGTATCAGACTTTTTTCTGTGGGGATATTTAAAAAGTAAAGTTTATGTCAGCAAGCCGAAGAATATTGACGAATTCAAAGCTAATATACGAGATATGCGATATCACCCGAAATGCTGACCATACGTTAACGAGTACTTCGTTAAGAACTGTTATTCGATTACAAATTTTTTGTTCGTTAGCAAGCCAGTAATAAAATTGTAAGTAATTTAGTTTAAATTATTATAAAAAATATTGATGAATTAATAAAAAATATTATTTTAGGACAAATGCAAATGAAAATAACGCGGCGCAAAAGAAGTTCATCGCTGAATTCATGCGGTCATATCCAGACTTTTGCCAAGCTTAAAGCAAGCAATGCTTGACGTGCCAGTTGAGGATATCAAAACGTAATAGAAAGTATACAAACATAAATCTTCCTTTAATTCGAAATATTTTCCAACGCTATATTTTAGGTATACGCTGACCGGAAGTACCAGGCGAAAAAAAACTTGCAAGTTCCATTAATCGCCTCCTTACAATGCGTTCATCGACATCGCGTTCATCGGAAGATAGACAAAAAAAGTAAAACGCCGGAAATAATTACTTTTATTTGACAAAATATTAAGCATTTGCGAACAGCTGATTTAAAACTGTAAGAGAATAATGTACAAGAAAACTTTTCATTTTCAAATAATTACGATCCGTCTGCTTTCGTATGGCATCATCTCAATAATTTTATACGATTTACGTATCACAGAATTTTTTTTTCGTAAAACTCTCAATACGTTCGCGGAACGCTCGATTCGACCGCTGATTTGTGTTTTATAGCAAATAATAATTACAGTTCCTGTTGGCAACCTTTACGTTTTGCTATGTATTTTGATCGTTACACCCTTCGTAGAAAGGTTTGATCTTATTGTTTGCTGATTGTAGTGTAAAGTCACATCAGTTAAAAAATAAAATTATTTGCAAAAACAAAAGGCTTTGTATGCACACTTTTCGATCGTAGTGTAGTCTTGCCTAGGACATTTGAAGAGTCGTTTTCAAAATTAGAACACCAAATACATTACGATTGACAACCGATATTAAATGTATAAACAAACGCTAATTGAGCACAAGCTGCGGGTGTTAAGTTGGTTTTGAGGACGCTTCCTAGAATGAAAATTTGAAAGACATGTAGCCAAAGGCGTCTGCGGTACCACGTACATACATATGTATATACTAC